GGAACGTTGACGCCTGCAAGGCTCTGGTTTATGGCTCCTTTTTCAAATTTGATTAAAAAATATTTTGGAGTTAACCTTGTATTTAATAGTGATGAAATTTCTCTTTGATTTATGTGTCCATGAACCTCCATTATTGGTCTTGTCTGTAGACATTTTTAATCTGTGTTAATTTTAATGCTTCCAGTTGGACAGCCCTTCTTCCTCTGTCTGAAACAACTAGGATATTTTTTTCCTAAAAAATTGCTTCTGGACTAAATTTTAAAAATATAACTATTTCACTTAATTATTATCTGGTGATTTCTTTTTTTTTTTGTCTTTCGGTTATTAGGCATAAATAATCCTTTGTTATTTACCAAATTTATTAATTAATATTTAGTCTCTTCCCATGTACATTTGTTTCAACACACTATTTATTGCAACACATCATGTACGTTTATTGCAATAAGTTTCTGAAATCTTTGTACAATTTAACCATTATAAATAATATGTGAATAAAAAAAAAGTTTAATACATTTAAATTGATAAATGAGATAATTTTTAGTATTCTTATATTAAATATCAAAATGAAATCAGTAATTGAAAATAATATATTTATTTTTTTTATAATTTCACAACACTTATAAATAAAAGCTTATAGGAATTTTGTTTAAATGATATTTTGATTAGTATTGTAATTACCAATAACCATCACTCCTTGCTAAATTATGTTTTATATGCTTTTGATAGCATCTTTAATCTTTACTTTGTTTTATTCTCCATCGCCTCTTCCAGCGTGCCATCGCACATGTCGTACCTGTATTGGTCCAGGGCCAGAACAGTGTACATCGTGTAAATCTACAAATGGACTCATCCAAGGCCTCCCCCCAAACATTGGCATCATGGGTGCATGTGTTGATAGTTGTCGGAATAACTACTACCCAACTCCTTATGGTATATGCCAGCGTAAGTAACATGAAATACTTGAAAAATAAGCTTTAAAGGTTCTCCATATTATTTAATGCCATATAGTTATTAGTAATTAAAATACCACATAGTTCATGCCAAGGCCTTTATGACCCTCATATTACCAGTGGCATATTTTGGGCTTGGAGGGAGAGGGCAGCTGGCCTGTGCCTCTCC